AATGTGTTTTTTCAAGATAAGATCATGTGTTGTGCATTGTCATCTTGAAGCCATTGCTCTGAACTATCACACATGAATCTGCCATGATTCAATCTATTTCTTCCATTCTATTTAATAACTCTTCACCCGACCCTAAAGAGAGTATGGGACTGTGCCTTAAAGAGTGTTTTTAAGAAGCCTGACGAATCCGAAGACCGATTCTTCATAACCATCATTGGCCAGTCTGTTACTATTTGCATAGTGTCAAATTTCATTAGTTCTACAATAAAACTGATTTGTTTCTTCATTAAATTTTTCAGTAAAAGTATGATGATCTGTTTGTTTTATCACGGTTTTGTAAAGGATTAAATTGCAAGAAGATGGCTTTTCTCATGAATATGTTCTTCCTCATTACAAGAAAAGACTATTTGTGAACACTTTGCAATCCAAACCAGCTTTTCTCCAGCTACGACCAGTAGAGCTTCAGATGAAAGCCACTGTATGCAAAGTGTTTACAGAAGGATTTAATAACTCTACCGGCTGAAATAGAATTGCTAATGAAAATAGTTTTCCTCCACACCATCTATGGTGCTGAGATGGTCACAGTTATTAGGTGATGGAGTCAATAAGGTTTTGGAGATCGAATATATAGATCAAAATAAAAGTCGATGATGGATGATGGATTTCCTATTGTTCTCTTGTTTTTTTTATAAAGTCATTTTTAATATATTTTTATTTTCAGTGTTTCATACATCTTATTTTTAGATATTTTTAAAGAACTTTAGTGCCCCTGCTGCAGAATTCTTTGACAAGTTGAAAACTAGAGATGCACCAATGAGATATCTGGATAGGATATCGACTCGGATATTGACTAATTAGCTGGTTCGGATATTGGTGATTTGATATTGGATATCGGAAATCCAATCCAGTGCACTTGATATGGAAATGTTACTTCTTTTTTTTTCTGATTATTTGTTGATGAATGATGTAAATTACATATATCTGTGCATAATTTGTAAGCTTTCCTTTAACAATGTTTATATTAAGCCTTGACTCACATGGCGAGATATATGGTTCATTCCACAGTTGAATCGGATTGATAAAGGGTATCGGCCGTTCAGTCCAGGTGTCATTATCAATTGGATTAAAAAAAAATGCATCGTGCATTTATATTGAAACACACAACTACAGTATTAAAGGCGAGGGGATTTGATGAATAAGTTATTACAAACTCAATTAATGCTTACAAAGGGAATGTTTTCTTTGGTTTAGGCATCATATTTTCTAATGTCAATATACTGTAACAATAGGTGTTCTTTAGCTATGAATAACTTTTTATGAATGCCAAGGATAATTATTGACAAATTTGTCATTTTAATCAAAATGCCCACATTGGGGCACCACCTCATTATCAGGAAATAATAGCGAAAGAAGGCTCTGTTGAGTACCTGCCTAGTGAGGGGAATTATAAAACAATAGATTGAGTGATTAGATGCTCTGGTATTCACACCGAGCTATAGAAATATAGAAAATAAACAGAAAATTATTCCTTAGGAGACTTTAAATTCCAGTTAAATGATAATGCTTAAGGAATTCTTTAATGACCCCTTGCTCACACTGGCTCCGGTGCGGTTAACGAGCCGACGGAGACCGCAACTCCCGCACACCCCCTCTTACACCGCCCTTTTGACTACGGTGCGGTGCGGCTCTGCGGCTCCGGCAACAGGTCCGGAGATTTAACAGAAGTTCACTTGAGGCCTAAATAAGGATATTTGCGAGAGCTTGTTGCGGAGGGCTCCGGCGCGCCGCAAGGATAGCTTTCTTGCGGAATTTTCTGCAGCGCCGGAGTGTCTCGGTAACCGCAGCCGGACAGCTCAGCAGCCGGTGAGAGAGGTTTACGTCTTTTTAATGACTTGGAATCACTGCGGCGCCGCACCCACCGCACCGCAACGGTAAGACCGGAGTTGGTGTGAGCCGGGGGTCAGATTTGTAACATTGAACTAAAATACTAAGCAAAAGGAGTGGAATAAAGAAAACGTACAAAAGTACTAAAAATAAAACAATGATGTGATACTTAAGTTTAGTAACAATATCATTGTTTCAGAATCAAGATCTGTTATTGTCACGGTTTTGGTTCTGTTTAAGTTTTCTTTTGAGTTTTCAGTTTCACTTTGATTCATGTTTTTCTTCGTTTTCTATTTTTTTTTTGGTTTAATTCCTTTTTTGTGATGTTTTCTGGATATACTGTATTTGAGTTCTCATGTATTTCTTGGTTGCCCTCTGTTGCCCTCTTATGTTGAGATCCTCTTCCCTAGCTACTTTCTAGAATTCTCCTTTCACACCTGTTCTCAATCAGCTCATCAGTCCTGTCTTTGTTCAGTCTCCCATATATGTGCTCTGTTTGAAAACCTAGGACACGTCCTTAGAAGGCCAGATTCGAAGGACGATGACGTCATAGCGCGGCGCCGAGGTCTGGTCGGATTCCAAGAGTCCTCGTTATGCCGCCTTAAAATGCGTCCTTCTTTTTGCCCGATTTGAAGGACGGGTCTGATGTATCCTCGGTATCCTTGGTTTACCCAGGATTCATTGCGAGACCAAGCAAGCCGTGATTTGCTCCGTGATCAGAGGAAAGGTTACTTGGCGCCGAACAGTGGTGAAAATTGGAAGTTCAGTTTAATATAATACAAGTATACGAATAGTTCCGTCTGAGATGAACGAATGGTTTTTAATGGTTAATGATTCAGATATCTGGCGGTAATGTTTGATTTATCTAAAGGTTTTTAACTGTTACTGTGTAAATGAGTTGATGGCTGTAATTTAAGGACAAATTATAATATATCTGCAGTGTGGGGACTATAATTCTGATAAAATTTTTATTTTGTTATTGCTGTTTTGCACAACATGCTTAACTAAGTATTTTTTGTTGTTGAATATTAGAGATTTTGCAGATATATTTTTATACATACATTGTTTACATTTGATTTTATCTGTTAATGCTCCCGGTGGTTGGAACCTTTATTCCACTCTGGATTCTTGTGAGTGTAGTCTTTGTTCACTTTAACTTTTTTTAAAATAAATAAATAAGCAACAGTTTTGAAAACCTCAGTATTCGTTCTTTTCCTGCTTTGTGTGTCAACTTTCACTGTTGCTAAGCAACAGAGCATACAGCGGTAAAACCCGCCGAATGGTAGACCTGTTCGAATTCACAGCCAAAACTTTTCCGGTCTCCTTATTTTCAAGGACTTCGAAGGATCCAGTCTAGGTAGACCGCGTCCTTGGAGGATGCAGCCCAGGTTTTCGAACAGAGCCATACTCTCCCTGTGCAGTTCCTCAGTCCTGGTTCCTTTTTTTTCCTGGCTCCCCACCTGTATGTTCCCCTGAAGTTGTCTGTTTTTTGGTTCCTTGTATCTTGTACTTTGGCCTTTAAATTTTTGCCTCAGTTTATTAATTAAATTCACAAGAACTCACCTCTGCCTCCTCACCTCTGCATTTGGGTCCTCAAAACCTCATCCAAACCCTGACAGTTATGAGGAATTTCAAATGGGGAAAATTTACTAGAAAGGTGACCTATTGTAGTGCAAACTTAGGAATTTGTGTATTAAAAACAGCAGCAAGTAATGTTGGATACCATCTTAGCATTAACAGCTGGAATCACAAAGGCACAATTCAGCATGTTTAGAAGGACAGTGCTCACATTCCTATGGAAAATAGGCAATATCAGACAAAACTGTAACATTGCAGACCACAGTGTATAATTCCCTCATGAAAGTAAGGTTTTTCTCTACTATAAACCACAACCTACTGTAAAGCTAACATTATGGCATCAGGCTCAGCAGTCTTTTGGTACTGAGCCTCTAACACAAAGAAAAAAAACCAATATTTAGATCATTTATCCTCAGTTTATTTCTCTGTTCAGACACACCCTTTAACTGTGAACTAGTGTGATTAATTAAGATTCTCTGATGAACAGAGCAGTTAGAGCCAGCTCCCAGACCACCAGCTGGGGCGAATCTCTGCTCAGATGGTGCATTGTTTTGTCGTGCAGATGTCAAATGTTGTGTCCTACAGCCCAGTGGAGGGGAAAAAAGTTTTAGGTAGCTAGTCTCTGTCTTCAAAAAGGTAAATTTTTCCTGGTCTCTGTTCCTGTCTCATATTTATTGTTTTCTAGGTAAACAGGGGTGTCTATGCTTGGGATGGATGTCCAATTATTCCTGGTTTCATGACACGGTTGGAAAGTTTTAACGTGGTTTGATAAGTTCTTGATGTCCCACTGTAGTCTCAGTCCTCCTCAATTCAGGCCAGTCTGTAGTTTATTTATATATGAGATCCTTGTCTTGACTGTACAAAGAACTACAGTAAATATAAATACTTAGATGATTCTAACCTCTCCTGTGCAGCAGCCAGGCTATAGAAGGGGTTCCATCTGCTTCTCTGTCCCATCACTGGCCTTAGCTTTTTCCTTCAAATTCAATACTTTTTACTCATGAAGGCTTGTAATATACAGCAGCACAGTAGCATTTCCTTACGCATTTCTAACATTTTGAATATCATTTAATTGATATTATCAATTCATAATCTAATTGATATTAAGTGATTTTTTAATTGATTTTCAAGATTTTATGTTGAATATATTCTGCTATATGACGTTGTAAAAGGCTAAATAAATAATTGGTGCATGGCAAAATAGTAAAAGTTGCACATCATTTTATCAAGTCCATTTCCCTCTCTTAAGATATACTTTTCTTTAAGTGGGAGCTTTATCATTATTATGCTTTTTATTTTATACCCCGGACCCTCAGCGACATTTAAATATTATGTGTTTTACACTACTGCGCTTCCAATATTAGTGCCTGGTTGTCTTTAAGTGTTCCGAAGAGAACATAAAACAAAACAAAGTTCCTGTTGGCAGCCCTCTGTAGGCAGTTACATGGCCTAAGTGCATTAAATAAAAGGATACCCACACTACTCTTGTGAGTACTTGCTTCTCTATTATAATTTCTTTAACTGTATTATTTTCTTACCATCTCCAACAAGTTGCAGCAGAGCCAGGTCCAATGGTCGCTTCCAGCGAGAATTCTTGTGCAGTGCAATGCCATAGCCTGTGGTGGCAAACACTTTTCCAGAGCCAATAGTCATTACCTTTATGGGATCAGATACACATAGATAAATAAACATTACTGCATCCCTTCTGTCACTGCTGCTATAGTGCAGTTGTCTCTGTTTAAATATTTACACCCCTTAAAAGCCCAACACTGGGAATGAGATATGGTTTTGTGAAGGGGAGGGGTAGCTTTACATCAGTGGTAATAATTACTGCAGCAGTGGCTGTTGTATGAACCAGCTGGGAGCTTGGACCTCTCACAAGCCTCATTATATATTATAGTCGTCAACGGTTTTTATCCCTGCTGCAAGAACTGCGTAAGATGCAACCTTATAAATGAATTACATCTGTGTTGTCCAAAAATTATTAATATACTTGGAGGCCTACTGATCAATAAAAAAGCATTTGCTGTGTTTGCTTGAGTTATTGAACGCAGATAAGGCCCTTGTAAAAAAAAAAATAATAATAATTGTAGCAGCATAAATGGTACGCTGCCACTTTAAGATCAATTGCGGCTGCTGCATATAAGCAGGTCCCATCTGCCATGAAGCTGCTTGCGTCATGACGTATCATTTTGGCTCCTTTGTCTGCTGAACTGTGCTGGGTAAGCGTGGCTGTTTCTCTGTTGTCAGCGTTTATTTTAGTTATTAATGCAAACTGGTTTGCTCCATTTAGCCTCTTTTGCTGCTCCTCCAAAGTCCGGACTGATCTGTTCGTTTGTTTGCTTGGTGCTGGGAAGGTAAGGACTAGCATGGGTAGATAACACCCACCCCATATAAACAAAGCCTTTACACAGCATTTTGTTACAGCTGCGCTGCATAGGTGGAATTGTGAAACCGTTTATTTGGCAGCCTGGTAATGCAACAGGTAAGCGGCTATCATGCATAATAGTTTCATCAGCAGTTGTATTGATGGTTTGCTTTATTTTTCTTTTAGCCGCCTGATGAGTCTTGATTATCATGATACTGGATTTCATACTCGCTGCTGTTTTGCCTAAAAGGAACTGTTTTGAGAGATCTAGTTTGATTTTCCCCTGATGTCGGGAGCATTGATGGCACTCCATCTGGATAAAAGTGCAATATTTTAGTGTTGTCGTGCCACTGTTTTACTTGTTTTATTTTTTTTGTTGTCTTTCTTTTAGGGACTGAGGCTTCTGTGGTGGCGGTGGTGACCCCTGGTGGCGGTGTCTTGTTTTGTGTGTTTTGTGGGAGCACCTTTCTTTTTTTTGTTTGCTGTGTTTTTGTAGTGTCCAGGGTGATCCTTTTTCTTCACTGGATGCTGCCCCTTTTCTTTTCACCACTCCCCCCTCCCACTGGTAAGCCTCAGGTTCCTTCTAAATTTAAATGTTTTACAATTAATTTTAATTAAAATGCATGCACTGTTTTTAACCATCTAGTTGAAGATTATTGTGACCATTTTAAACAAAGGAAGGAGATTGAATTAATAAACTTTTGTAAAAATTATTTGAATCTTGTCTCATTTCCAGTAGAACGTACCTGTGTCCTTATTATTTTATTTTCCTGGAGCTATTCCAGGTGGCGTTGTTGGTATCCCACTTTAACTTTAATATCTAGTATTTGGATTTCATAAAAAGCAAAAAAGAGAAAATCCAACCACCCCTCCCAGGTTACCACAAATTGGCGTTGCTGGTAGGACCTGCTGTGTAAATTGAGACTTGATTCTTGTTTTTATTGTGTTTTTTTTTTTCTCTCTCTTGTTTGTGTAGTGGCGTTGTATTTTGTTTGTTCTTGGAAGAGAATTGTGTTGTGTGTACAGGCAAAACAGCAGCGAGCCTATTAATCCTAAAGGATCCAGGTCATGGAGGAGGAAATCCAAGAAATGCGGGACTTGATTGCCCAATTGAAAGCAGACAACGAACGATTACGACAGGAACAGTCACGCTCTGCCCCAGGTACTTCTACTGCTCCTTCTACTCCTAGCACATCTCAGAGTGCTTTGCCTGCCCCTGGTCCACCTGTGTCAGAGAGGTTGGTGTTTGTGCCTCGTGACAGGAAATGTCCGATGTTCCGGGGAAGATCAGGAATAGGGTTAAACGAGTGGTTGGAGGAGGCTGAGGCCTGTATGAGGGCACGCCATTTATCACCTGTTGATCAGGCTTTTTATTTGTACGATCATCTCGAGGGTGAGGCACGAGAGGAACTTAGATACCGTCCTAGTGCTGAACGGACTGATCCAGCTTGCATTATTAGAGTGCTAAAAGAGGTATATGGTTGTACCGATTCCTATGTCTCGTTGCAAGAGGCTTTCTTTTCTAGAAAGCAGCAGGAGGGTGAAACCCTTCAGGAATTTTCCCTTGCACTAATGGGATTAATGGAGAGGGTTAAAGTTTCTGCACCCACTAGCATGGTTAATGCTGCTGTATTGTTGAGGGATCAGTTTGTGGAGCATGTTTTAGATGGTCCTCTGCGGCGTGCATTAAAACAGTTGGTACGGGAGAAACCTGCAGCTACTTTACTTGATGTCAGGGCTGAAGCTATTAGGTGGGAACGGGAGGGCTCATCAGGCGGTAGTAGGGCTCGTAGTTTTTCAGTTCCATCACTTGGATTTCAGTATGCTGTCCATGGCACTTCTCAGATTAGTTCAAGGGATTCGGGGTCAGAATTGGGGTCTCTGCGTGATATGTTGGCGCAACAACAAGAGCAATTAAATCAACTCACTCGGAGCATTGCCTCTCTTAGTCAAACTCGCCAACAGAGTCGTCCCCCTCGTAATGTCCCTATAGTCTGTAGACGGTGCCAACAGCCAGGCCATTATGCTAGAGAATGTGATGGTGTACGTGTCCCTTCCCATTTTCGCACTCAAGGCCCTCAGCAGCCCTCAAATTCCCTGCCTCATAGCTCTGCGGTCTCGGAAAACTAGTGCCCACTGAATTGTTGAGCCACAGTTCGGGTGGGGCCACTATTGGCTCAGTCACAGCACCATATAATGGTATGGATACGCTAAAGCTTGTTGCATCGTGTCCTCATTTAGATGTGTGTTTGGGAAGTGTTCAGGTGCCCTGTCTAATTGACACTGGTTCTATGGTGTCAACCCTTACAGAAAGTTTCTTTAAGGATCATTTCGAGTCTGGGGGCCCTGATGGTTTACGCCCTTGTCACTGGTTGCAGCTTAAGGCAGCAAATGGGTTAAATATCCCCTACCTTGGCTACATAGAGCTTAGTGTTAAACTCTGTGGCAAAGACATCCCAAACTGCGGGGTTTTAATTGTAAAAGACCCTCCTGGCAAAGTGGCTCTCACACCAGGTGTTTTGGGTATGAATGTAATTCAAAAATGCTATCATGAGCTCTTTGTGCAGCATGGCGCAGGGTTGTTCAGTCAGGACAATGTCCCCCAGGCCCCTTATGAAATTTGGCCCGCATTGCAAAAGTGCCATCAGGCGAGCCTGCAGGGCCCATCAGACTGTGTGGGGAAGGTAAGGGTCAGAGGTCGTGCAGCATGCAGGGTCCCAGGTGGGGTTATGAAGCTTGTGGCTGCTACATGCTCTGATCAGCTGTCACAGGCTGTACTATTTGAGCCTCCTGAGGCAGGTTTGCCTGGAGGTTTGCTTGCTTCTCCTGCCCTGGTCCGTGTGGTGCGAGGCACAGCCTACATACCAGTTGTTAATGTAGGCTCTACAGATATCTTGCTTTATCCACGTACTGTTGTAGGTACTCTGCATCATGTTAATATTATCAGTCTGCCTGCCGGTGTTAAAGAAGAGCCCTCATATACAGCTAAGGTGTCCTCTCAGGTTGTAGCCCCAACAGTGCAGGACCAAATTGAGGCCATTGATCTCTCCCAACTGCCCAGCACACATCAGGGGCAGCTGAGGACCCTTCTTAGGGATTATTCGTCTGTCTTTGCAGAAAATGACAGTGAGTTAGGGTGTACGAACATAATTAGCCATGACATACCCCTTACTGATGAGACTCCTGTAAATCAGCGATACCGGCGTATACCACCGTCAGACTATGAAGCAGTAAAGAATCACATTAATCAGTTACTTAGTACTAATGTGATCAGAGAAAGTTGCAGCCCCTATGCATCTCCCATTGTGCTAGTCAAAAAGAAGGATGGGAGCCTGAGGATGTGTGTGGACTATCGGCAGCTTAACAGCAAAACCCGTAAAGATGCCTTCCCATTACCACGCATTGAGGAGTCGTTGGATGCACTTACAGGTGCTTGCTGGTTCTCTACTCTGGACTTGGCAAGTGGTTACAACCAGGTACCTGTTGCAGAAGCAGATCGTCATAAAACAGCGTTCTGCACCCCATTTGGTCTATTCGAGTGGAATAGAATGCCATTTGGCCTTTGTAATGCGCCCAGTACATTTCAAAGACTTATGCAGCGCATTTTCTCTGATGAACAGAATCAGACATTATTGCTGTATCTCGATGACATAGTTGTGTTTTCTTCCACTGTGGAACAGCATTTGGAGCGCCTGGGGATGGTGCTTGGACGCCTGAAGAAAGAGGGTCTCAAGGCAAAGTTCGCAAAATGCTCTTTTCTTCAGCCAGAAGTTAAATACCTAGGCCATGTCATTTCTAGCAAAGGTGTTGCAACGGATCCATCTAAAATTGAAGCAGTGGCTAACTGGCGGCGCCCCAGCACATCCACAGAGCTGAGGTCTTTCCTTGGGTTCGCCAGTTACTATCGGCGGTTTGTTGCAGGCTTTGCCAAGCTGGCCGCGCCCCTTCACCAACTAGTGGCACATTTAAGCAGTTCAAAAACAAAAAAGCGGCTAAGACAGGACATCGCTCAGGGCTGGACTGCAGAACACCAACAGAGTTTTGATGAATTGAAAAGGAGGCTAACTACCTCACCTGTACTAGCCTACGCTGACTTTTCTTTGCCTTTTATTCTAGAGGTTGATGCGAGCCATGGTGGTCTGGGGGCTGTCCTCTCCCAACAACGGGATGGGGTGGTGCGTCCTATTGCTTATGCCAGCCGAGGATTAAGGCCAACTGAACGCAATATGGATAACTACAGCTCCATGAAACTTGAATTTTTAGCCCTTAAATGGGCCATGACTGAAAAATTCAGAGAGTACTTGTTGGGCCATAAATGTCTTGTATTCACTGATAACAATCCCCTCAGTTATCTTAGTACTGCCAAGCTGGGTGCCACTGAACACCGATGGGCTGCACAACTTGCCTCCTTTGACTTTAAGATTCAGTACCGGTCAGGGCGTACGAACAGGAATGCAGATGCCCTTTCCAGAAAACATCCATCTACCGGAGAACAGGTTGGTGCTTTTCTTCCTGGGAGTAGCCTGCCTGAATCCCTGCAGTTGATGATGGAGAGACAGGATGCTATGCAAGCTGCCATTACAGTCCTCCCTGAACGTACCACAAAGGATATGAAAGTATTACAACATGCTGACCCAGTTTTGCAGGAACTTTGGACCTTTTGGGCCTGCAAGAAACAACCTGATCGCACAGAGCGAAGGAATTTATCTTTGTCTTTGTTGGCATTCCTGAGGCAGTGGGACCGCCTGGTGGAGAAGGATGGTGTCCTCTACCGCAAGACCTTCCGTCCTGATGGTGCGGAGGAGATGCTACAGCTGTTGCTGCCCACAGCCTTGAGGGAGGAGGCCCTGACGCAAGCTCATCAGGACCATGGCCATCAAGGTGTGGACAGAACTCTCTCACTCCTGAGGACAAGATGTTACTGGCCAAAAATGTCCTCTGATGTTGTTGATTGGTGTAGGTTATGTGAGCGATGCCAAGTAGCAAAAGATACTCGACCTCGTGCACGGACCTACATGGGCCATTTGCTGGCGTCACGACCCAATGAGATTCTGGCAATGGACTTCACAATCCTGGAGCCTTCTCAAGATGGGCGGGAGAATGTGCTCATTTTAACTGATGTTTTTAGTAAGTACACCCTGGCTATACCAACCAGAGATCAACGTGCCTCTACTGTGGCTCATGTCCTGGTGAACGAGTGGTTTTCAAAGTTTGGGGTACCAGCCCGTGTTCATTCGGACCAGGGGCGTAATTTTGAAAGTTCTATTATTCAGCAACTTTGTCAATTCTATGGCATCAAGAAGTCCAGGACCACACCATACCACCCTGCTGGAAATGGACAATGTGAAAGGTTTAATCGTACACTTCATAATCTGTTGCGTACCCTTCCCACCACCAGAAAAAGGGCATGGACCTCTTATTTGCCACAAGTTGTCTTTTGTTATAACACCACACCACATCAAAGCACTGGAGAAAGTCCCTTCTTTCTGATGTTTGGCCAACAACCTAGGCTTCCTTTAGACTTCCTGCTGGGCCATGTATCAGAACCAAGTGCTGGCAGTGTTGACAAGTGGGTTGCAGAGCACCAGACACGCCTACAACTGGCTTTTGAGGAAGCCAGGGAGAAGCTGAAGATTGCTGCAGATAGGAGAAAAAGAAATAATGACCAGCATGTTCAAGATTCCCCTCTGCATGAAGGTCAACTTGTCCTACTGCGAGACACCGGTCAACAGGGAAGACACAAAATTCAGGATCTGTGGCGCTCTAAGGTGTATAAGGTCCTAAAAGTACTGGGTGACACTGGAGCAGTTTACACTGTGGCTCCTGCAGATGAGCTGAACAAAATTAAAAGGGTCCACAGATCTCTACTGAAGCCAGTTGTTGGCAGTGACGTCCCAGTATCACCAATTGGGGAACCTCTGTTAAGTGACTCATCCTTTGAGGGTGAAACTGATCCTGATTTGTTTTTGAGGGTAAATGTCCACCAACAAGCGCCTTCAACATCGGCCCCTCAAGCGCCCTCAACATCGGCCCCTCAAGCGCCCTCAACATCGGCCCCTCAAGCGCCCTCAACATCGGCCCCTCAAGCGCCCTCAACATCGGCCCCTCAAGCGCCCTCAACATCGGCCCCTCAAGCGCCTAGTAAAGATGAGGGCCCTTTAAGGATAATGAGAAGAACTGCACGCTCAACAGCAGGCCAGCACTCCAATGTCCACCATCTCCCAAGAGCAACAGGATTAGTGCATGGGGCTGCAAACTTTCCTGATGCACACTGTAATGCCGTTTGTGCACTGTTTAGACCTTGGTGTTAGTGTTTTTGGAGTCGTCGCCGAGGCGTCGACGCAAGTTGGGGGGTAGACTGTAGCAGCATAAATGGTACGCTGCCACTTTAAGATCAATTGCGGCTGCTGCATATAAGCAGGTCCCATCTGCCATGAAGCTGCTTGCGTCATGACGTATCATTTTGGCTCCTTTGTCTGCTGAACTGTGCTGGGTAAGCGTGGCTGTTTCTCTGTTGTCAGCGTTTATTTTAGTTATTAATGCAAACTGGTTTGCTCCATTTAGCCTCTTTTGCTGCTCCTCCAAAGTCCGGACTGATCTGTTCGTTTGTTTGCTTGGTGCTGGGAAGGTAAGGACTAGCATGGGTAGATAACACCCACCCCATATAAACAAAGCCTTTACACAGCATTTTGTTACAGCTGCGCTGCATAGGTGGAATTGTGAAACCGTTTATTTGGCAGCCTGGTAATGCAACAGGTAAGCGGCTATCATGCATAATAGTTTCATCAGCAGTTGTATTGATGGTTTGCTTTATTTTTCTTTTAGCCGCCTGATGAGTCTTGATTATCATGATACTGGATTTCATACTCGCTGCTGTTTTGCCTAAAAGGAACTGTTTTGAGAGATCTAGTTTGATTTTCCCCTGATGTCGGGAGCATTGATGGCACTCCATCTGGATAAAAGTGCAATATTTTAGTGTTGTCGTGCCACTGTTTTACTTGTTTTATTTTTTTTGTTGTCTTTCTTTTAGGGACTGAGGCTTCTGTGGTGGCGGTGGTGACCCCTGGTGGCGGTGTCTTGTTTTGTGTGTTTTGTGGGAGCACCTTTCTTTTTTTTGTTTGCTGTGTTTTTGTAGTGTCCAGGGTGATCCTTTTTCTTCACTGGATGCTGCCCCTTTTCTTTTCACCACTCCCCCCTCCCACTGGTAAGCCTCAGGTTCCTTCTAAATTTAAATGTTTTACAATTAATTTTAATTAAAATGCATGCACTGTTTTTAACCATCTAGTTGAAGATTATTGTGACCATTTTAAACAAAGGAAGGAGATTGAATTAATAAACTTTTGTAAAAACTATTTGAATCTTGTCTCATTTCCAGTAGAACGTACCTGTGTCCTTATTATTTTATTTTCCTGGAGCTATTCCAGGTGGCGTTGTTGGTATCCCACTTTAACTTTAATATCTAGTATTTGGATTTCATAAAAAGCAAAAAAGAGAAAATCCAACCACCCCTCCCAGGTTACCACATAATCATTTAGATAACTTAGTCTGCCCATGTGGATGCATGGAAAAATGTGCAGAATTTTGAAAGGTCAGGCCTATTTCTTACCTTGCAGCCCTCATCCTTCCTGGCCATATAGTTCAGCACAGCAGCATCATAAATAAAGGCATCTAGTTTTCTGCAGGGTAAGAATGGAGAGGGAAATTACATCACAGAATTGGAAATCACTCCCCTGGAGCTAAATGACGAGAGAACAAGCAGACAAAATGACAGAATTGACAGAAAAAAACAGCACTTTAAAAACAACCCTGCACAAAAGAAAACTGATTTTAAAGGAGGCACTTTCTACACACCATTCTGCACCAACTTTCAAAAATCTTACAAGGAGATATTTATCATGGTGGAGGCAAAGATGTCATTTCTACTCCTACAATACCCTCAAAAGAACTGAATACAATGCAGCATCAGGGGAGGCTGAGATTCTAGTAAAAGGGAGTGAATGTAGCTTTAGCTCTGGAAGAGAAAGCTCACAGTTGCTGTAATCTCTGTCTGCAGCTGAATCAGAAAAAACGTTTGTTACATAAATGTGCAGACATGTTGGTCTTCCCAGTATTGTCAAGCTAGATTTCTGTTATCACACTCAAACTATTTTTTCATTTCACATATTTCAACATATAAGAAGGTTAAAATATCAAAAATAAACTTTGCCTGTGTAAATTCTCAATCATCCAGGTCACAGCAGCCACAAAATGGGCTTAAATTGGAAGGCCACCAGTCTCGCTCAGTTTTTTTAAGACATTTAAACACCTATCCAGGAGTCTTTGTCAATCCTATCGACTCTGTTGCAAGCCGACAAAATTTATGGCAGAATTTACAAATAACTGTCTGCCTGATTACCGTATTACCGTATTTTAGGGTGCGTTTTTTATATACAGGTACATATCCTCTACTACCTTTAAATAGCTCTACTGCGTATTTAAAAATACAGCGGGGGCAAAACTGAGTATGACTGTGCTTTATTCATGTATTTATTACAAAGTATTAATCAAACCTGGGAGCTGGCCATGAGACAGACACATCGCAGATGACACAGAGCTGTGATTACTCCTAAATTAACTTAAAATCCTGAAACCTGCCGACGGAATATGTTCGCTTTTATTGCCGGTATCCTGGTGCCTGCAGTTTAAATTATTTAGATGAAAATTATTTAGGTGCACCGCTGGTATGTGGGGGTCTGAGCGCCTCCGACAGAAATAGTATAGGCACGATAATAATCTGGATGAACTGACTGCAATTATTAAGTTTTCAGGTGGACTTTCTCACTTAAAAACATTAAAACTACTTTATTCCCACTGATCACAGCAAATATAGCTGCAAGATTTAGATTATTTAGATGAAAAAACACCTGCCAGCCACCGCGGTGAAACCAGAGGAGACCCGCCCAGAGGCTGCTGTTGAATTAAGTTTTCAGGTAGAAAAATAGAGCGGGAGCAAAACTGAGTATGATTGTGCTTTATTCATGTATTTATTACAAAGTATTAATCAAACCCATCAAAGTCATCATCCTCTGTTTCTGAATAAAACAGCTGCGCTAAATCAGACATGCCAATTTCCCCTTCTTTGCTGTCAGAGTCACTTTCCGTGCCGCGCGGCTCCTCAGAAATAATGCCGGCTTTTGCGAAAGCTTGAACAACAGAGCCAGCAGACACGTTAGTCCAAGCATCTACAATCCATCCGCAAACGGTGGCATTAATTGCCCGGCGCTGCCTTCCACTTATCGTGAAACTGTGGTCTCCGTCTGTCATTCATCGCTCCCACGCCGCTCGCAGCCTTACTTTGAACGGCCGCTTCACACCGATGTCGAGCGGTTGAAGTTCCTTTGTCAGACCCCCGGGATAACGGCGAGCACAGCGTTCATTTGATTCACCTTTTTTTTCACATCAGCTGTGAGATGGGCACGCAGCGATGGTGATGCGTGGAAAAAAAACACCTGGTCTCCTCACATACACCTGCCTCAGCCCCGCTTTCATCATCTCCTCATCCATCCAGCCTTTTTCATTTAATATCATATGTCATCAGAGCGCTGTGTCTGTCTCGCTGTCAGCTCCCAGATCAGCTTCTCTGATTGGTTGATGCGGCGCGTCCAGCAGCAAAACTTCAATTTTTTCCATCTCGAGCAGCAGCAGCGCGTTGGCGGTGCGTCAGATGCTTAAACGCTCCCGACGCGCTGCGCCTGCTGCTCAAAACGCGCTGCGGGACCTTTTGCTGCACCTATACACTCATCAACCATTGACTTTGCATGTAAACTCGCTGCTTCTGCTGCACCTGCTGGGTCCGGTTCACACCGATGTCGAGCGGTTGAATAACAGCGAGCACAGCGTTAATTTGTTTCCCCATTTTTTTCACATCAGCTGTGAGATGGGCATGCATGGAGTTACATATTAACAAGCAATGGTGATGAGTGGAAAAACAACACATGGTCTCCTTACATTCAGCCACTCTTTCATCATCTCCTCAATGAGGTGGTCTCAAAAGTCGCAGTTACAACACACATAAGGCGCACCGCACCAATGGGCGCACCGCACATTTTGAGGGAAAATAAAGACGTTTAAGTGCGCCTTATAGTCGTGAAAATACGTATATATAGTACATAATTTAAAACATTAAATCAGACGTTATTGTTGGGATCCAGAGGTTGCCCACCAGACGGCGATGTGGATCCTTCTCCTGGGAGCTGGTTCTCAGCGCACAGCTGTTTCCCATCAGCTCTGCTCATTAACCTCTCCCCATATAAGCTGTGTGACAGCTTCACTTTGAGCCGGATCGTAGCATGTGTTACCCACAGCCATGTTCAGCCTTGTGTTTCCTAGCCATGTGTTCCCAAGCCATGTAGCATGTCTTGCCATGTTAGCCACGTTTTGCCACGCCTTGCCATGTCCGTTTCCTGTGTTACTCTGCCTGCCTGAACCAGCGAACCCGTGAGTTTTCAGTTTAGTTTTTGATCCCTGAGTTTAACCTGTTTTCTGTCCTCTCTGCCTTCCAGGGCAGATTACCAGTGTTCATAAATAAATATTGGACTTTACCCTGCCTCTGAGTCTGTGAGTTCTGCATCCTTGGGCTAGCAAACCAACCACGCATCATGACAGAACGATCCGGCCAACAAGCTAGCCCAGCAGACTCCATCCACGCTCACCTGGTGGGGCCCGCTCGGCGCAGTCTGCTGCCTCCCAAGTGGGAGGCGCAGCTGCAACACTACCATGAGTTATTGGCCTCCTTAGCCCCTGAGCCCGCTTTGTGCCTTCCAGAGTCCCCTGAGCAGCTCTTAAAGAGGCGGATGCACCGGAGTTTAGGGAATTACCTTCGAGAGGTGGAGACGGAGCTGAGACGAGTCGACGAGGAGCGGATTCGTTTTGTGCAGGAGATGAGGGGGCGTCTAGGGATCCCTGCTCCTGATTCGAAGCCGCAATGGGCGGCCTCCTCAGTCCCTGATTCGGAACCGCGACCGGCAGCCACCTGTCTACCTGTGGAGCCACAATCGATGGTCTCCCCAGCTTCTGGGGTGGAGCCGCAGTCGGCGGTTTACGCTGAGCCTCCTCCTGTGGAACCACAGTCAGTGGTTTCCCCAGCTCCTGGTGCGGAGCCGCAATGGGCGGCTTCCTCTGTTCCTGACCGGGTGCCGCAATCGACGGGCTCCCCTGTTCCTGACTGGGAGCCGCAATCTGCAGGCTCCCCTGTTCCTGACCGGGGGCCGCAACCAGCGGGCTCCCCTGTTCCTGATTCGAAGCCGCAATCGGCGGGCTTCCCTGTTCCTGACCGGGAGCCGCAACCAGCGGGCTCCCCTGTTCCTGATGTGAAGGCGCAATGGGCGGCCTCTTCTGTTCCTGACCGGGAGCCGCAACTAGCGGGCTCCCCTGTTCCTGAAGTGAAGCCGCAATGGGCGGCCTCTTCTGTTCCTGATCCGGAGCCGCAATCTGCAGCCTCCTGTGTTCCTGTGGAGCCGCGATCGGTGGTCTCCCCTGCTCCTGGGGTGGAGCTGCAGTCGGCGGCTTCCTCTGAGCCTCCTCCTGAGCCACAGTCGTCGGTTACTGCAGAGCCTGTTGCTGTGTCGCGGAAGCAGAGACGGCGTCCTCCTCGGCGCTTCCCGCAGCAGCTGAGTCGGCTTCCTCCTCGGCGCTTCCTGCAGCAGCAGAGACGGCGTCTTCCTCGTTGCTCCCCGCAGCAGCAGAGACGGCGTCCTCCTCGGCGCTTTCTGCAGCAGCTGAGTCGGCTTCCTCCTCGGCGCTTCCCGCAGCAGCTGAGTCGGCGTCCTCCTCCGCGCTTCCTGCTGCAGCAGGGAAGGCGTCCTCCTCCATGGCCCCTGCAGCTTCTGAGACGACGGTCACACGGCCGGCCACCTGAGACTCTGTCCTGCTGCCGGTCACACGGCCGGCCACCTGAGACTCTGTCCTGCTGCCGGCCCCACGGCCGGCCCCCTGAGACTAAGCCTTGCTACCTGGCCCCACGGCCGGCCCCCTGAGACTAAGCCTTGCTACCCGGCCCCACGGCCGGTCCCCTGAGACTTTCCTGTCCTCGCCCACCCCGGGTGGGTTGTTTTGATTTTTGGACTCTGTTCTGTTTTCGTGTCTGGCCCCCCGTGCCTGTTTCCCCCTCTGCTCGCCCGAGGAGGGTTGTTTTGTTTTCTGGTTTTTGTTTTTGGGCGTCTGGTATCCGCCCTTGAGGGGGGGGTACTGTTGGGATCCAGAGGTTGCCCACCAGAGGGCGATGTGGATCCTTCTCCTGGGAGCTGGTTCTCAGCGCACAGCTGCTTCCCATCAGCTCTGCTCATTAACCTCTCCCCATATAAGCTGTGTGACAGCTTCACTCTGAGCCGGATCGTAGCATGTGTTACCCACAGCCATGTTCAGCCTTGTGTTTCCTAGCCATGTGTTCCCAAGCCATGTAGCATGTCTTGCCATGTTAGCCACGTTTTGCCACGCCTTGCCATGTCCGTTTCCTGTGTTACTCTGCCTGCCTGAACCAGCGAACCCGTGAGTTTTCAGTTTAGTTTTTGATCCCTGAGTTTAACCTGTTTTCTGTCCTCTCTGCCTTCCAGGGCAGATTACCAGTGTTCATAAATAAATATTGGACTTTACCCTGCCTCTGAGTCTGTGAGTTCTGCATCCTTGGGCTAGCAAACCA